TGCTAATAATCTAAATAGGATAGATGCTTGAGACAGAAATTGGACAGAATCTATCAAAATTAAGGATAATGTCCCTGTTTATACCTGTATACAATTTGAATCTTTTACAGTGAGAATATCTTTACATATCACCTGTGAAATGTCTTTTTAATTCATAAAACAGAAACTAAGATGATAAAAGAAAACCTACACTGAATGCAAAATGGAAGGAAACCTACAATGTCTGCATTTGTGGCACACATTGCCGTGGAGTTTTAGGAAAGGGACAACAGCAGTGTTGGCTGGAATCATGGTTTCCCCTCCACATTAGCACAGCTGCTTGATCTCCATCTTCTCCAGCACCACTGTTAACATTCTGTTTTATTGCAGCTGTCTGTGAATGTGTCTGTCCCCTCATCCCTGGTCCTCTAGAAGTGCGTTGGCCAAAGCGTCAGTCTGTATATTGTCTCATTGTCTCTGTACTCTTTGTGCTGCTGCTGCCTAGACTACTAAGTAATTAATAATGAAAAGAAATTTTTTATCAGTGGACATATGTTCCCGTAACAGCAGTCATCCTTAGGGACTCATACATCTAAAAAAAATCTTAAAAGTGAATCTAATCAGCCACTCTAATTGGTGCTCAAGCAGGCATTGGTGATGGCAACTGTTCCCTTTACCAAAGTTCAGGTTTTGAAAGATGCATGGAGCAAGGTTTGGCCCAGAGGTCATCTTCATAGCTCCCTACTTCCTTTCTTAGGTAGTTGTTTCCCTGATGTGTTATCATGAACATCCAGCAAGTACTTCCCAGGGGTAAACCTCTAGTGAAACTCAGAGATTTTACTTTGGGATGAGACTACGTCACTGGAGGGGAGCACTCTAGTTAATGTGAGATGGGTATCTCTTGTTATTGTAGACTCTAGCCTGGAAAGGGATTTCGGTCTCATAGACTGACAGCCCTCATATTGGAGACAGGAACGTAAAGCCCAGGGAGGTAAGGAGTGGCTTAAGGAGTCTCTCTGAGTGGGGAAGCTGAGATACAAACGTCTGCTCCTGATTCAGGGTCCAGGGCTCTTCTCTCAACTTGTTCCTGCCTGCCTTCTCCATTTGCCTCACATGCCATTCCTGTGCTCTCCTGAGATTTCCTGTAGGAGTTTTTTTGGTCATACTTATCAAGTTTACTCTTAAAAATTTAATCTTTGGGACAAAATGTTCATATTGGGAACTGAGGTCAAACCTGTAATAAGCAGCCACACCTTACACCCTGTGGCAGAGTGTTCTACCATCATTTTCACTCCTTGTAGGCAAGGCGACAATAAACTGCCTAACTGAGCAGCAGAGCATTAGTCAGCTTAGCTGTGGTGGCTTGGTGCCTCATTCAGTTCAGGCTGCTATACAGAGCAACTTACAAATAAATCTCATTGTTCTAGAGAATGGAAGTTCAATGTCAGGGTGCCAGCATGGCCAGATTCCGATGAGGGCCCTCTTCTGGGTTGCAGCCTGCTGACTTCTCATTGTGTCCTCACAAGGTGGAAAGAGGGCAAGGCAGCTCTCCAGGGTCTCCTTTATAAGGGTACCAGTCTCATTCATTAGGACTCCATCTTCATGACAATTAGCCCAAAGCCCCGGCTCTTGACACAGTCACATTGGAGGTTAGGATTTCAACATATGAATTCTGAGGGACACGAAAATTCAGTCCATAACACTTGGTAATGGCAACTTGTCTAGCCTCAACCACAATTTCTAGAATTCCCTTTCTTGTATGTTTCCAATCGGGTGGGCCCCAAGGGAGATTCTTAACAGTTGGAGAGCAAATGTGAGACAGCAGCCATTTTTATAATTCATGCATTGTCACTGTGTCCAGCAAAAGCTGGACCTCACATGCTCTCAAGTCCTGCTTCAGCTTCTCTAACTCCTAGCTCTCACCAGGTGTGTATTTTTTCTGTGATGAAGGCTCTGTCTTGCAAGACACCCACACCTCTAGTGCCAGAGGCACAAAATCCATTGTGGGTGTCCGTCCTCATGGGCTTCAGCCCTTGCCTGTGGCTCCAGCTAGTTATTCTCTACTTTATGTCCATCTTCCTCGGGCTTACTCCTACTCTGTAGATGTCTAGTTCCAGCATCAGGGCAGGTAACAGCCTTATAAAGACTTTAACCAGCTCCTACAATTATATGATAAATTCCTGTAAGAAATACACACAAACACACATATACTTTTCTAGTTATGTTTCTGTGATTGAACCCTGACTGATACACCCCCAGAAGCTAATGTCTTACTCATTATTACTTTATTAAGAGTTTGGGTAGTAGTTCTGGTGGATGGTAGACGATGGGACCTCCAGAGTTCTATCCTAAGTATCTAAAGTAAATTAAATACCCCACCCCTCTTTAGTGATGAAGCATCACTCAATATCCAACAACGAAACAAACCATGGCACTTGGGAGAGAAAGCAGCCCAGTCCAGTAGACAAAAGAACAATGGGCAGGAGAAACAAAATGGTGAAAACGAGTTCTCAGCGAAACTGGGACAGTGGACAATGGATTCCAGGTGGACAGAAGCTAGAACTCCTTTGGCGTTATGGGCACAAGAGAGCCCTGTGGTGTTGCTGTGCCTTGTGAAAGACATGGTGCTTTTGCTGTACATGACATATGCGCGTGCACACACACACACACACACACACACACGCCCCACCCCTACCCCTCCACCCCACAAGAGTTTGGAAATACCCCATCTTCCTGGCTCAATGTAAAAAGTCATTAAAGATGATATCTCAGGGAATGTTGATTTATCACCTACAAACCTGCAAGTGACTTTCAGGCTCTGAGTGTTCACAGTAAGGTTTCTAAGGTTCCAGATGTTTCAAAATCTCTTAGAAGTCAAATGAAAGGAGGGACTGGAGGAAGCCCTCTGAAAGGCTGTCCTCACGATCTCCATTGAACTTTACTTTGGAATAAGCCCTCAAATCTTGAAATGCTAAGAAAACACAACTCATGGGGAAAGAATGAGAACAGCCTTCCAGAAGATACCTCCTGTCTGTGTTGTCATGATACCGATAGTCAAGAGTTGCCCAGAAAGTGATAATCTAATAAGTGAGAAAAACACCCCAAACCCACTGTTTGCTTTTGCCGTTAGATTTTTCTCCTTGCCCTATTTTTACTAGCAGTTGAAAGACCTCAAAGCAAGATGTCATTCTGGACTTTTCAAAAAACACTTTTTCCTAGGATCGTAATACCAGTTTATCACAAACATCAGCTTACTCTTCACTTTATGTCTCAACGACGTCACAGACGTCATATTCATGATCATGGTCCTTGTGCAAAGGTTTCCCGTCTTCACTATGGTTCATTTAAGAAGCCAGGAAGGTTTGTAAATAATGCTCTGTTTTCTTAAGTCAGCTTAATTGCTTCAAGAGTTTTTCTTAGCTCTGATTTCCACATTCTTCTTTCTCTGTTCCCATAGAACCCTTAACAGACATTATTCTTTTTATCTTACTTTGATCATTGTTTTTGTTTGACTCTCCGATTCCAGCAGACAACAGTAATAGTTCCAGCACATAGCTTAGAAAACATACTTGGTGCACCAGTGAGTGAATCTTGAAATATTCAGTCATCCACAAAGGCTGTAAAGAGTTTTCTGAATAGCTGAAGTTTATATATTTTAAAATGAAAAAAATGTTTATGTTGGGTTTATGTTAAGCTCTGCCACATTCGCTTATGAAAGAGAGTCTCTGAAGATGCCTCAGATCTTAGTGGTCTCCGTTCCTGAGCATCTTGATGTGCATCTTGGCTCCTCTTGCAAGATCAGTGTCCAGTCTCCTTCCTCCTGCTGCACGTTGATTTTTTTTTTTTTTTTTTTTTACTACTTCTTGAGACAAGGTCTTACTGTCATCCAGGCTGGAGTGCGGTGGTGCGATCTCCACTCACTGCAACATCCACCTCACAGGCTTAAGCGATCCTCCCACCTCAGCCTTTCAGGTAGTATGACTATAGGTTGGTGACACCACGCCCGGCTAATTTTTTGTAGAGATGTGATTTTGCCATCTTTCCCAGGCTAGTCCTGGGTTCAAGTGGTCTGCTTGCCTCGGCCTCCCAAAATGGTGGGATTACAGACAGGAGTGAGCCACCACGCCTGGCTTGCACCATGATTTTTTAGCCACAGATTTTTGAACATATAAAACATCATTCTGAATGTACCATTTCTTTCTTTTTTTTTTTTTAATTAGACGGAGTCTCACTCTGTAGCCCAAGCTGGAGTACAATGGTGCAATCTTGATTCCCTGCAACCTCCGCCTCCCAGGTCCCAGTTCAAGCAATTCTCCCGCCTCAACCTCCAGAGCAGCTGGGATTATAGGAACGCACCACCATGCCTACCTAATTTTTTAGTAGAGACAGGGTTTCATCATGTTGGCCAGGCTGGGCTTGAACTCCTGATCTAGTAATCCACCTGCCTCAGCCTCCCAAAGTGCTGGAATTACAGGTGTGTGCCACCATGTCTGGGCTGAATGTACCATTTCTTTCTAGACACAAATAACAATCTCTTGCCCTCACAGCTGTTTTCTTCACATTGAAAGAAATTAACACTACCTGGCAAAAAAAAAAAAAAAAACTGAAAAAGGAAATATGAAGCTTAAGATACTGCTACATAAGATAATATTAACTTTATTCTGAAATGCTAGTTTTATATACAAAACCAGAAATCCTGGCTACTCCAGGATCCTGAAAAGAAAAGGGGCATTAGAAAGAAAAAAAATAAAGTCTCAGGAAAGATAATTATTTTAATAGCTGCCCTCAGGAAAATGCAGATGAGGGTGAAGCTATCCCGAATTAGCAATTAGATAAATCTTGAGGATTAGAAAACAGCAGGATTTAAATTCCCTTTTCAAAAATGCAGCAACTCTGCTAGAAAATGAATGAATGTGATTGCAGCTATATATTTTTTTGACCGGTGCTCTTGCAGCTGTGGAAGTTTGACCCACACTGAGATGCCTCCTGAGTCAGCCCTTTCTGTGTCCTTGTCTCTGCAGCGCGAATCTGTCCAAGGCCGCCTGGGGAGCATTGGAGAAGAATGGCACCCAGCTGATGATCCGCTCCTATGAGCTTGGGGTCCTTTTCCTCCCTTCAGCATTTGTAAGTTAACACTTCTAATGGCATAGTAGGTCACATGTGAAATGAACTGGGTTTTGTGTTCTCTTCCTATACAACAGCCTAAGGTTGGCAGGAAACAGTCGAGATTCTTACCCAGAGCCTGTGCTCTTAACCACTGGTCTGTACCTCTGAGCTTACTGAACACTCACCAGCCTGAGTGCAGTGGGATACCTGCTCTCAAGGCATGTGTACTTGTTTAGGATTTGACTATGTGCTTCCGGAAAATTAATAACATTTAAAATAAATATTGTGAACTACAATGTGAAGATTTGTCTCAAGGTGGTAGATGACAAGTCACCAAAGGAATGGCCCAGTCAAACACAAGATGTTTAAGGTAGGGGTGACTGCCTACCTAATCCTTAAAATAGAGATTGCATTATTTATAAAGACCATCAGACAAGAATATTAAACAGATTCCACCCCTTCTAAACTATGCTAGCAGATTCAACAGCTAGGCCCAAAACAGGGTGGCTAGGTAGTCAACAGTCTAAGATGGTAACAGATTTTCCAAGAGTTTGTTAGCACATCTCAAAAAACAGAGCCTGGAACAGTGCTTTCCAGCAGGCTTCCATCATGAACCTGGTGAGGCCCCACTCACTATACCTGCCTTGTCATCAGCCATTGGCCCTTCGATTGGGCTGTCTGTGTCCTTCAGTGAATCTCAAATGACCTGGGCAGAGTGCTGTAATCAGGCATTGTGGACAGTACACAGAATGGCTTTCCCTTCCCCTCCCAGAGAGCTCATTGGCTAGTTGGGCAAGGTAGTCATAAAGTCAGATGGGCACCCGATGCACCTAAGCAATGAGACAGACATCCTTCTTTGGTGCGAGCTGGGTGCTGAGACCTGAGGGAGGTGTCTTCCTGAATGAGCAGAGCCAAATGACTTTGTTGTGTGTTACAGAAACCAACTTGTGTCCACAGAAGCCCACAGATGGAGGGAATTTACTGAGAAGATGCTTGGGGGATGTCACGGGATCCCAGGAGTTGCTGAGCAGCTGACACTTGGGAGGGACAGAACCAGGTCCTCTTGGAGGACTCAGCAGTGGCCCTTCTCCCTGGGTTACTGCCACTAGCATGGCTCTGCAGCCTGGGTCCTGGCCATTCCACATCCCAGTGACTCCTCAGGCCTAGATTTGCCTTTCATGACCCAGGACTCTCCCACTCTGTCCCCAGAGTGAACCTGTTTCTAGAGAAGGGAGAATAGATGTAAGTGAGGAAGTCACCCTGAGGGATAGACACTATCAGGGGGTTTCACCCATAAGTGAGTTGACGTGCGCCTATCAGTCTGTAAAAAGGGTTGTTGGGTTTTTTTGATACAGGAGACTTTGTCTTTAAGTACTTAAATCACAATGTCTGTGTTGCTCACTGATACTTGAAGTGTCTGGGAAAAAAGTAGATCTCTGCTTGGACTTCACAAAACTGACATTTATGATTTAGACCTTGAGGATGACCCAGAGATTCATGCCATGCGGTAGTTTGTCGTTTCACTGAGTTTATACAGACACAGGAATGAGATGCGTAGCTTGTGAAGGAGAGGCTGTCCAGTGGAACAGCTTGGTGGTTCCCTCCTCAAAGCATACCCCAGGCTCCTTCCTGAACATTCCAGTGGCTTGGGACTGCCCTCCTCCACGCTCACTTCGGTCCTGTACATACCCTGTGCCTGCTGTCTTCATGATGAAAGCCAGGAGTTCTGCACAGCAGAACTCTCCCGGGGAGAGAATAAAGGATGAGGTGGAGGCTTCCTTTTCGGGAAACTCATGGATAAGTTGAGGAAACAGACACTGGTGATTACAGTATGTGACAAGAACTAGGGTGTGGGGCATTGAAAATACCGGGGCTCTGAGAAGAGGGACCATGTAGTCTGCCTGAGAGGGATGGGAAAGGCTTTGTTAAGGAGGTAGCATTCAATCTCACTCTTGAGAAAGGAGTGTGAGCTTAACCTGCTGTCAGGGAAGATGAGGCTTCCAGACAAAGGTAATAGTGCAGGCTGTGTATGGGAAAGAGCAAACAATTCTGTGTGCTTGGAATGGGGATGGGGCATGGGCCATGAGCCATGAGAGGCTGGAATCCCAATCTGAAGGAGACTGGAGAACAGAACACACTGTTGGCCTTGGTCCCACATGGATAGTAGAAAGGCATCAGTTTCTCAAGCAAGACGAATGGTCTCATCAGGCCAGTTTTCAGAGAATTTGAATCTTATAAGATATTCTGAAATTGGGATTATAATTGATACTATTTAAAAGGTACTTGAGGTTATAGCACATTGCATGTATCATCAAAATCATCATCTTAGCCATATAAACCACAGTTTAACAAACCTATTTATTAATGAGTTACTGTTACCATTTATCCCATTGTCTTTCTTTTCTTTTTTCTTTAAATTGAGACAGGCTCTTGCTCTGTCACCCAGGCTGGAGTACAGTGATGCCATTATAGCTCACTGTAGTCTCAACCTCCCAGGCTCAAGCAGTCCTCTCACTTCAGCCTCCTGAGTAGCTGGGACTATAAGTGTGTATACTACACCTGGCTAACTTGTTAATTTTTCTGTAGAGACGGAGTCTTGCCATGTTGCCCAGACTGGTCTTGAACTGCTGGGCTCAAGTGATCCTTCCTTCTTAGCCTCCCAAAAGATCTTGTCATTTCTCATTTCTTAATGCTTCTTGATAATCTGTTCCCTCTGAACACCCCACAACATCACCTGCTGGGTGAGTTAGCCCTTATTGCCATGGCCCCCACCTTACCTTGCTGGGCCACATCCATGCTCCTCAGTCCACTGTCAGAATGGGCTTTGTAGACCACAGATCTGGCTGTGTTGCCTGCTACAGATCCTGTAAGGTAGAATCCAGGCTCCTTAACAGGGCTTCTTTTCCCCTTTATGTTCCGACTCCTGACCTCTCGTTCCTGCCATGCAGAACTCATGGTTCTCACTGTGAGCCAGGTCCACCCTGCTAGCCAGCCATAATCTGTACTGGGAATGACACCTTTATGCCCCACCTCTGCCTGCTGCACATGTCTCCCTTGCAGGCACCCCTCCTCTGCATCCCACAACTTTCTAGAACCTGAAAGTCAGTACATATCCCACCTTGCATTGTGACCATAGACTCGTGTCTCCTGGACCAGACTGAGCAGAACGGGTCATGTGGGAGGCTTTTCTTAAGTGCCTGTTCAAGTTGTTTCCTTTAAGTTGCCCCATACCGAACAATGTGAGGAGAAGAGTGTGAAACAGTATGGAGACTGATTTTGCTCCAGTGAGTATTGTATGCAGTAGGTGTTAAATATGTTCACAAATTGTGTTGTAAAGCAATTTACAGTATGGAATAGCTCATCAGTAGCTGTCTTGAAATTAATATACACATACACTTAGGAGTCCACTACAATACTTACAAATGCCAATCCCTATATATTCACTTAATAAATATCTTAAAGACTTCTGTATCAATCATAATCCTAAAATGTTTACTGACAAGAATGCAGTTTGTCTTCAAATAAGGCCAGTTGGTAATATCTATTTTTGGGTTTCCTGTTTAGTAGCAGCAAGATGTGCCTTTTAATGCTTTTGGCTTCATGTTTGTCAAATAGACTTACTTAATACAGAACTTTTTTAGACATCCTTCAGACTGGACATCATCCAGAATTTAACCCCGCTTCTTATCTGTTGGGTAGAACTCTGCATCCACACCACCCACATGTCTGAGTTATCAGCAGCCAGAGTTGCCACTTTTATCCTTCATCAGTAGGTTGTGTTACTTGCTGTGTTCTGGGAGGCTCATTTGGAGCCACTGTTGCAAACAGTCAAGTTTCATGCCCAGAATGGCATGGTGTCATGCACTGCAGAGGCCTCACCTAGGAAAGGAACCCTGCAGTCCTCTACTTCCCCACAGCCATGATAAGGAGCTGTCACTCTGGAACCAAGTAGCCATGTGATGTGACACTCCTGTCAACTAAAAATATAGCAGGCAGAGAACCAGCATTTCCCATTCATGATAAAGATGCCATTTCAAACCTGGGATTGATCTGGAGGCTGATAAATGGTACCACCTGTTCCTATTTTTCTCTTGTTTTTTAAATGAATAAATCTGGAAATACATTCTTTTTGAGAGCAATCTAACTTGTACAGTATGTTGTCAGTAGCCTCCCCTTTGACTAAGAACACTTTCAAGAGCTTTGGAGGGTAAAGTCAAGGTACATTTACTTTGTATTCCCAGCAAAAGACTTTATTCTTTTCAGGTCTAAAATCAATTTATATGATGTTTTCTGGGTTGTCTCTTTAAGCGCATTTAAAGTTTAAGTTAGACTATGGTTCAGAAAATCTCAACATAGGAAAGATGTGATTATTTCAAAGATCAGTAGCTGTATTCCAAATCTGATATATGCCTCTGTGCATATATCAGGGAGGTACAAGTACTTCTCTCTTTGAACCTCATTCCTGTGGTGTTTATTGAGCACATACTCTGTCAGGCACTGAGTAGGCCCTAGACTGGAGCCTGTAGCGCACTGTGGCTAGAGAAGCCTGGATTAGGGTCCAGTACTGCTTCCTTCCAGATGAATGTAGCCCAGGTGTCGTGCTGGTCTCAGCCTCTTCTGAGCCCCAGGGTCACTTGGTCCTGTGATAGTAGGTTCCAAAAAGTTCAAGTCTCTACTTTGTCTTTTCTCGGTTCTGTTTAAACTTTGTCATGTCAAACATGGTGTATTCCACAGGCACATGCAGTCTTATGATGTGGCTCTGGCTGGAAGAACTAATACAGTTTACAAAAGCCACCACCTTAACCCTCTTCTTGTCTCCCCTCCCAAGGCCAACCCTGCCTACCTGCTTGGGGCCAGCCCATCTGTTGTGAGCCCCCAGGGTTTCCTAGGAGGCCATAGCTGGGCAACAATGTGACATGGCGTATCTTGCATCCTCCTCATGTTCTTCCATCTAGCTAATAAAGCCACAGTCCTTGTGTTCTCCCTCCTCTCACCTGTCCACATCTTATGCCATCTGT